ACTTTTGTAACGTTTGATGACCACTGCTCTGGAGGCAAGAGTGTCATTCAAAAATGCCACACTGTGAATGGCCACAACTGTGCGGTAAGGAAATCCCTATCTAAGCAAGAGATGGCTAGTGCTTCATCCAACCAAAGAGGCTGAAGTGGTTCTGGAAACTTTGGTGGTGGTCATGGAGGTGGTTTTGGTGGGAATGACAACTTTGGTCATGGAGGAAACTTCAGGGGGCATGGTGGCTTTTCTGAGGTGGTAGTGGACATGGTGGTAGTGGAGATGCCTATAATGGATCAGGTAAATATGGGAACAACTTTGGAGGTGGTGGAAAGTATAATGATTTTGGAGAAAATTTTTGAAGGCAGAAGCTCTGGCTCTTATGATAGCGGAGGCCAATACTCTGCCAAACCATGAAACCAAGGTGGCTAAGGTGGTTCCAGGAGCAGCAGCAGCCCCGATGGCAGTGGCAGAGGTTTTCATTACTGCCTTAGCTTAGCAGGAGAGGAGAACCAGAGAAATGACAGAGGAGCTAGAGGTTACAACAGATTTGTGAAGTCAGCCAAGGAGAGTGGTGGCAGGGCCTAGCCGCTACATAGAAGACATGTTTTAAACAATACTCATGTGTGTGTGCAAAAAAACTCAAGAACTGTGTTTGTGACTAAATGTGTACAACAAGTCATTTTATTCTGTGGAAAGTATAACCATTCTAACAAAAGGTTTTAATGTAGATATCTTTTTTTTTTGCATCATGTTGTTGATTGCTACAGGTAATAGTCTGATCATGATGCTCAATAAATGTGTCTTTAAAAAAAATCTTTCATGTACATCAAGTATACCAAGGTGAGTGGGAAATTTCTTATTCTAAATTCATACTGTGTATTGTGTTAAAATTCTTGCTTATTACAGAGGAAAAACTGCACACCTAAAAGCTGCTATTACTATAATTACATGACAGGAAAGAGAATGACAAGTCTAAAAATAGTAGTAGGTTCCCAGGAGTGCCCAAGTATAAGAACTAAGTTGTGGTAGTATAAAGACACAGTATGATCAAAAACAGTTTCATCCCCTGAAGACTAGATGAACTCCAGACTTATCTAGAAAAGAGAGTAACTACCCAAGGTCAGTTAAAAAAAAAATATATATATATATATATTACTCACTTTGGGGAGTTTGTCTAGAAAGATATGTTCCAAAGTACATGCCAATCAATTAAAATACATGGGAGTTTTGCATGGAGGGGAAACACAAGTTAAATGTTCAAGGTGCACATGTGATCCAAGAATCAAGACTCCTGGAGGTCTCAATTCCATCAAAGCTCCACAGATGCTAGGAGGGTAGAGGGAGAATTTTCCTGATGGGATTAGTGAGGGGATTTCTTCAGAGAGAGGGATTGTTCTGCTATGAAGTCTTTTCCCCAGCCCCCATAACTTCTAACACTTGACCTGTAGGTACAGCTTCAAGAAAACCACTTGAGGATCTCTGAAATAAGATCACATAGTTGGGAGACACGGGTCTGGGGATTGAGTCTCACATATGAGAGAACCCATAAATAACTTGTAGACAGGGTCTGATCCTGCCAAGGAGTTAGAGAAGGCTAGACACAGGTTCTTTATTGCTTTGGTGATGGAGACAGCTGATTAGTGAGGGATGGGTTAAGAGAAGGATGCAGGGGTGCTTCTCTATGGACCAGACCTGAGCCATAGAGTGCAGTGGGGCCAGCATTCTATCTTGGGTCTTAGCCAAGATTATCTCTTGGCAGACAGAGCAAGAAGCCCAGAGCAGAAAAAGGTTAGAGGTAACTACTCAATTTGCAGGACCTCATTTAGGGAAGTACAGGTGAAAGACTCAATGGGTTTTACCTGAAGAGCTTAAAGGATCTTATAAAGGAAGCATCAGCTCTACCATCTGCCATACCCACCAAGGGATACTAGCTTAACAAATGTAGCAGATGATTAAAACTGCCTCTTCCCTTCCTTTTAACCCCTCTCCTTGTGTCTTTTCCCTGTTAACAAACAGAAGTTCCTAATAGGAGAGAGGGGAGAGCCTATGGAATATGTTTACCTTCCTCATTTTGGCTTCTTGCCCCAAAAAGTTCTGGGGGAGGGATTTTTTTGATGTTGTTCAGAAAAGATGACCTTTGCTAAATAAACTCAAAGTGACAACTGGAAACAAAAAATAGGATCTCTTTTGGTTATTTCTGAAGTTGAGATTGTTCAATATGCTGGTTAAAGAAAGTATGAAGCTTGCTAATGATCCAGAGCAGAGCATCAAGAGAGGTATATTTTAAATGCCACCTGTCTCACACTATAAAGTCTCCACATCTGACAGAAGGGGAATATGTTACTCTCTGAAATGTCATAGAACACAAAACACGATGACCCATGAAATCAGCAGCATACATTGTGATTCAAGTTAGAATTTAATCTGCAATGCTACAGGGTGAACATCATCGCAATTTTTTGGTCAAGAGAGAAAAGATGATGATGATGATGATGATGATACTCTAGCCCTGACAGATTATCATCATTGGTAAATTGTGGAGGTAGGGATCTCATAATCAGAGGACCAACTGCTACTGCTTAGGATGACGTAACAACTTCGGGTTTGGGAGACCCTGAATGAACAGATGTTCCCTAGGAAGGCAGAATTAAATGACTCTGAGATTCCAAACATGCACAATGGGTTGGATGACTTGCAGTAGACAAGTGCAGTAGACTAGATTTGGATCAACACTTTCACTAGAGCCCAGCAGTTTGGTGAGTGATGGAGAGACAATAGAATGGTATGTTTAGGAGTGAATTCTGGGGTAGGTTAGGTGGGTTGAACACCAGTGCATTCTGAATGGCTATATAGAATGTATTGGAGCTCACTTTTTTTTACATCAAAAATATGTTATTAATGGGTATATGGCAGTGAGAATAGAATCAACATCAATTTGACAGTCATTCATGGCGGATGGTTCCAATACACCTACAGATAAATATTAACTACAAAAAACCCCAGTTCCTTAAAAAGTTAAACATGAAATTATTATATGACCCAGCAATTCTTCTCCTTGGTACATAAGATCTCACATTATACTTGTACTCAAATGTTTACAGCAGCTTTATTAACAATAGCCAAAGGAGGAAACAACTCAAACATCCATCAACTGATGAATGGATAAACAAAATGGGATATATCCATACAATGGGGTATTAATGAGCCAAAAAAGAAAAGGTAATTAAGCACTGACACATGATACAATTCGGATGAACCCTGAAAACACTTTAAAGGTCAATTGCACTAATATGAAACATCCAGAATAAGGAAACCCATATATATATATATACACCTATAATCAGCTCTTTCTGATTAGATTGCTCCATATGTCAGCAAGTAACAAAGAAAAAAAATTAAAAAATAAAAAAAGAAAGTAACAAAAGACTACTTTAGTAATATCAAGAACATGATGAATTATGGCAGGCATCATAATACATTTGCTTATAAATGTCTATGATTGCATAGTTGAATAAATTGGGTTTCCAAGTTATTCTTAGCTTATAAAGCAGGTCTAAAAACATAAAAATAGGTGAATTCACTTACTATGACATACAATGGTAATTAATACAATACTGGAAACTGAAGATTTGTTTGTTTTTATGAAAAACATGTACAAATTATGCAGACTAAAGGGAGATGGTAAAAGAGCATTAAAAAAAATAATGCCAACTGGAAGAGAAAAACCAGTATAATAGAAACATATACCTTGTTAGTCTTATCTTAAATCCCGATATAGTTAGCCCAAATTCCTTTGAGTATAAATTTTCAGTCAAAGTCACCATTGTATAAAGTCTCCTCTCCTTTACTATGTGCTTTGTTCTTTCCAATTTAATTGAAGGCTCTATTTTAAAATGTTCCTAGAAGCAATTTTTGTGGTTCATCTTTTCATTGCTTCAGTAATAAAATACCAACTTGGTCACTGCAATAGTTGGTGGCAGTGTAATTACATTCAAGGGAAATAAAGTAACTGGGTTCCTTTTCTCCTATTGTGTGATTATAGTGTTGAAAACTTCTGTAAATAAAACAACAAGTGAAACAATCTTTGGCTATTTTGTAAGGAATTATGAATGTAGTCTGTTATCACTCATGAGGAGAAGTATTCTATACGTATTTTAATCATTACTTTCAGAAATGCTCTTTGGCAAGGTGTACACTATATACTCCATGCCATTCAACTAAACTTCTACATTATAATTCCTTCCTTCAGCTATGAAATACTCTTATTTGTCTGTCCTGAAAGTTAATGATGTTTGGTCAATTATATATGTACTGTCCGATTATCAAAAGTTTTGTCCCACACAAAATATTTCAGCATATGATAAAAGAATCCAATGAATATATCATTTCATATATTTACTTTTCTTCTCTCTTTGGAGAAAAGTTTAGAGCAGCGATCATTTTAATTAACACACTGTGCATAAGAATGCATGACAGCAGCTGTTAATATGCATTTTTAAGACGAGAGGGTGGGGTGACTTGTCTAGATGTAAGAGCAACATATGTTCAGCTAGGCATATGATTTGTAATATAAATTATGATTATAATGCAGAGAAACACAGAGGGACATGTGCAATAGCTGCCTATTTCCATTTAATCACTAACTTATTTTTCTAACATATACTAGAGAAGGCTTCATATTATTTTAACTGTTGAAATATGATAGAAAATGATCAATAATAATACTTTAGATCAGCATCATGCATTCTCAAACATGTAACTATACTTTCTGTGAACATAAATTCAGATTTTTAAAAAAATGCTATTCAAGAAAGGAAATGGAAACAAATGAAAACTATAACAAGCATCTTGAAGCAACCTTAAATTATCAAAACTGATAGTGTGTGCCTGCTTTATACATCTTATTTCATTATATTTTTGATGGAGTAGTACTTTAGTTACCTTGAACACTATTAATTTGATTTACAACCTAGCTGATTGAAGATATTAGAGGTAAAACAAATTACCTTCTCTTGGTACTGCCGTCTTGAGGAATCCAAAGACTGGATTAAAGCTGTGGCATGGCCAACAAACATGGCATAGCAGGTGGCCCCAACAATCATGCTCAGCATGGTAATCCAGAGGTCAGACATGCTGACTGGGGCCTGGGCTCCATACCCGATGCACAACATGTGACTCATAGCTTTGAAGAGTGCATATGAATACTGCTTTCCCCATGAATCATTCTAGAACAGAAGAGAAAAAAGAAAACAGGCTGAGCCATCACTAAAGCAGAATAAAAAGTAAGAGTGACCTATAAACAAAAACATTATAGAATGAGTATGGAGAAACATCCTTGTTATGGGACATTTACACAGACACTCCCTTCTTAATTGCTACTTAAATGATGTAATTTTTTTCAAAGCTGCTTACCACTAGGAAACAATCTACTGTTAATATTATGCATCCCTAGTCAGTTTTAGGTTTGTTGTTTTTAAAACTAAAATTTCTTTTGGGACAATGGTGTGACTATCATATAAAAATGCTAAGAATGGGGACACCTAGGTGACTTAATAGTTGAGCATCTGCCTTTGGCTCAGAGTGTGATCCAGATGTCCCGGGATTGAGTCCCACATCAGGCTCCCCACAGGGAACCTTCTTCTCCCTCTGCCTATATCTCTGCTTCTCTCTCTGTGTCTCTCTGAATAAATAAGTAAAATCTTTAAAAAAAATTCTAAGAAGGAATGTTGATGGGCTCATTCCAAAGTTTCTAGGAAATCTGGTCATTTTCTAGCTGAGAAATGGTACAGGTTAACATGAAGCCGATGGACCTAGGCAGAAGATTTTTTATCAAAACTATGATGTTTAGATTTAAAAAATCCAAATATATATTTGCATAGTCCTTAATTCTATATTTCTTAAATGAAAAATAAACATATTTTGGAAATGCAGGTGTGAATAATGGAAAGACTTCCTTAAAGTCCTCTCTCAGAGTAATGTAAATTAGAATTCATATGTCAGAAGTGATGATGGATGAATCTTGTTGGCTTTTTATAAAATAATACATACAATAAAATAAGCAAAATAATATTTTGGCAAACCCTCTGGACAAAAAATTTTAAAAAGCTGACTTCTGAAATTAGTTATTGCATGCAATTTGAGTCCTTTCAAAAATTTATACCAAGCTCAATTCTACAAAAATAAGTTATTCAATATCTATCCTTTGATAAAATTTAAAGGATTTTTTTGGGATCAATTTGTATCAAACCTCCTGGCCCAAGACTTACATAATTTATAAGGCTCAGTGCGAAGTGAAAATTTGGGCCCCTATAGTTCAAAATGTAGGAAAAAAATACTGTTAAAGATAATAATATATAAATTTTCCCCTTTAAAATATTTTATTACTTATAGTAGCAATAGTGATGAGTAATAACACAAATTTATAAATTTCAAAAAATAGTTTTGTGTCAAGAAACACTGTATTATTGTGATATATTGATTGATCATATAATTTTTCTGGCTTAATTTTCTGCAAATTCGATTTGTTAGGTCTTTAAAATTGATACAATTAGTAATTTCATTTGCAATGATAAAATTGTAAGTGACATCATTTGTTTTGGATAATGCAAGATCACAAATAATTTCTGATAGTTTCTGAGAAACTTTAATAAAGATCTTTCTGTTGATGCAACTATTAATGGGGTTAAGAGTATTTCATAGATTGTGACAACACTGAGATAAATTTTTGATTTAATATATAAAGTTTAGTACATCTGGAGCTGATGGTATTAATGGAACAATTTTTCAATAAATACAAATTAGTTTCATGTATGAATGTGATTTTTAATTAAACATTTTTTAAAAGAACTGTAGATTAACATGCAGATTATAAGAAATAATAGAGAACCCAATGCACCCTTCATCCCAAATGGTAACATCCAGGAAAGTGTGTACAATGTTACAACCAGGAAATTGACATAGGTACAATCCACTGATCCCATTCATATTTTTCCAACATACCAGTACTCATTTGTGTGTGTACTTAGTTTTATACAATTTTATCACAAGTTTATGTGTTCATCACCACAGTCAAGATACAGAATAATTCCATCACAACAAAGATCTCTACACTGTCTGTATACTGAATTTCATGTTGAATGTAAATGTATGCATTGACATTTTAGTATTTCCTCTGACATTTCCTGTAACTTGCTGAGGTTGTGCAAGAAGCCAGAAGTAGTTTCATAATTTGCACATATATATTTTATTCCTTTATTTTCAATTACAAGGAAAATTTAATTAAAAATTGTCCTCTTTGTTAATAATTGTCTCATTTAAAGTTTCACATGAAAATAGTGAAATAGTGTTATTTTCCATCAAATGTGATGATCTTTCAATTTAATCTGTATTTCTAGGCTGGTGGAAATTTGCTTTGCAATGTTGCAGGAGTTTCCAAAACTGGACATTGTAAACTGTGAAAAATTCTAACACCCTGACATGCCTTATTGCAATATTCACGTATACTCTCTATTTTGTAATAATTTATTGACAAAGTTTGCCATCTGAGTGCTGCAAGTGTTATCTTGGAATTTAGGGAGAAGATTTAATATCTGTGTAGATACTGCAGGGATAGGAACGCTGGGACTGATAGTCTGCTGTTTTCTCACCAAGATTCCTGTCTCGGCTGGCATGGGGGAGTCACTCCTACCTCCCACAGTCGTGCTGTTACGGTTGCTGCTTCGGGAATTGCTGTTGCCACTGGTATTCTGGCTCAACCACGTTGGGGACACAGCATTTCAGATTGCTGGGGCATGCATATGCATGCCCTGCTGTCAGGTCAGGTGCTTGCCTTCTTCGTTGCCTACTGTGCCTGCAGGCCTGAACCTGTGGATGCAGAGCTGCCACCCTGCAGCACTGTTGCTCATGTTCATGCTGCACTGTCTCAGTGGACCTCCCATACAAAACATAAGTTCACAGATAAAACTATTAAGAATATCAAGATAGCAGCAGCTGAGCTTCATAACAAGCACAGGGTCCTTCTGGAAGTGGGTGCCTATGCAAGTATAAGGTAATATCTCATGCCCACAAGGCCATTCCTTGCTTTTGTCAAATTAATTCTTAAATTCTCAGAAAGTATTAAGTTATTTAAAAATACAGTGAATATACATAGATCTTTTTTTTCATGTTTTAAAAGGCTTTTCCAAAAATAAAATTTATAGATTTTAAAAATAGGACATGATAAAGTTTAAAAGCCCAACTTCATAAACTTTGGAACTGCATGTGGCTGTGGGCAAAAATTAACCATCCCCATCTGGTTGCAAGAGTTAATTTTCTTAAACTGAAATTCATTGTTACTTATAAAATGAGGTCATGTTGCCCTATTTATCTATCTATCCATTCACTCATACATGTATGCATGTAAATGTATATGCATGTGTATTTGTATATATACACACACAAGTGTAAAAATGAGATTCAATTTTAAGAAAATTATTTGTATAGTATATTATACTATGCAGATATTATGACGGACCTATATACAAGTTTTATCTTTTCATACACGAAAATATGTAACTATTTCCATGAATTAACCTAAGGTTTCTCAAATTGTAGATATTCCAGGAACAAGAAATGGAGTATTCAATGAACAAAGGAATATGTCCCATAAAAATCTTGAATGTACATGTTATTTAAAATGAAGTATTAAAATTGCTGAAATTCAACTCAGTAATATACTGACATACTAAAAATGAATTCATTACAAACCACATTGCAAAATAAGCAAAGGCTTTAATTCCTAAGATCTATTCAAAGAATGAATAAAAAGAAAATAAGCTTGGTTTGTTTCTGACTGGCTTTAAATCTCTTCTGGGCTCCTTCAGGACTCCAATTCCCCTCTCATGGTGACTTCCATCAGTACATGATGATCTTCTCATGGGCCTGGCATCTGCCCATAGATTAGGGTTGGAGCTATGTCTCATCGATCACATTAGACTCTAAATTGCATGATTCAGTGGAGACACTAAATATTTTTAGGTGAAAACACTTGTTGAAAAAGAAAGGATGAATAAATATATTTTGACTGTGCTGTTAAATCTAATGCAAGATTCTCTTCCTTTTATGGGGGCACAGTCATGTTGTTAAGGCAACTTGATGGACTTAGATATAATGGGAATAATTCAAAAGTCCAATGGCATGACCATTAGAGACTGCACTTTAATTCTGTTTGCATTGTTTATTTCTTTGTTTTTGAGGGGAAGCAGTATGAGGAGCTGGAGAAGAAAGTTTCAATTTACCAAAGGAAGGCAGTTAGATAATAGCCAAACTATTTTATATAAGAATGTGTGTTGATGTCCATTTTCATTTATCTCTTTGGGCATACACAAAATACACAAATGGACCTTGGCCTTTCTCTCTACAAAAATGGATCATATCATATACACTTCTCCGCGTAAAGCTTTTATCACAGGAAAATTCCTCCAAATAATCTAGTGTTCAGATAATATGTAATATGTAATAAACTATTATTCATTATGCTGTAGTTAATTCTCCCATTTCTTCTAGTGTTTTCCAGTTTTTGCCACTACAGACTATTCTGTAATAAACAACTTTGTACATATGACCTTTATCTCTATTAAATATATTCACAGGAGTGTGTTTGTTGGGTCAAAGAGTAAAGTTTTCAATTTGTGCCAGACTGTTTCAGAGGCTGTAACTTCTCCAAAAATAAATAAAAATACACTTCATCACCTATGCTATTGAGATAAAATAACCACTGTTACTTTCACTTACATTTCTCTGACCACAAAATTTGAGAAGATTTTTATATACTTATTAACTAATTAGACTTTCTCATTTCTGATGAGATTCTTATTTTTTTTCTTATTAACTTGCAATACGTATATGAAGACTGGATATCAGTTCTTTAACTATTTGCTTTATTTTTAACTATTTGCTTTAAATATCTATTTCTAATTTACCCTTTACTTATTGATTTTTAATGATATAATTTGCCACATTTTAATTACTTTTTAAAGATTTATTTATTTATTTGAGAGAGAGAGAGTATGTGAGTGGTGGGAGACGGAGAGAGAGAATTCTCGAGAATCACTTCCAAGCACAGAGCCCATTGTGGGGTGATCCCAAGACCCTGAGATTATGACCTAAGTAGAAACCAAGAGTCAGACACTCAACCAACTGAGCCACCCAGGTGCCCCATTATTCTGATTATTTTATGTAAGAAGAC